TTCTTAATTTTTTCCAAGTGTTGGTGTTTAAACTGCTTACATTTTGATTAAAGGTAATAAATTGTTGTCTAAATAAGTAAATATCATGAGGAAAAAGTGATTTTTTCTTCGTAAATACATTTTCATTGTCCGCTTTTATATTCAATTATTACAACTTTCTACTTTCTTTTTAGTGGTTATCACAAACCTGTACGTGAAATATGTTTACATAATTATCGCTCTAGAGATAACTATCACTAGAGGGACTTTTGCTATTTTCTTTCGCGGATGCATCGACTGATTTCAATGAACAAAAATGATATAATGGGCATCGAAAATGTGTACCGTCCTTGGCAACAAGGACTTACAACAAGCAATGTACTGTTTGTCAAAATTCAACAAATCAACACTGGTGATGTTTGATTGACTTTAAGACACTGAGCAAAATTGATAAGCATCATTTTCGGGGTATAGCTTACACTGTTTAAAAGAAACACTTGACAGTAAAAAAGCTTAGTACTCCATGGTAACCCTATGTTTTGAAAAATGAGCGAAAACAACAGCGTGTGAGAATATCAAAACAATTATTTAAAAAAAATAAAAAAAATTAGTCTTCCACGTTCGTCTGAAATTCAAACAGATAATGAAACTTGAATCCATTGCTTTAAACCTTAAAAAACACAATAAGATGCACTCGACAAAAACAGCCAAAGTCTGAGAAGAGCAAAGAATTGCTAAATCACAAAAACAGTTTTATATGCCATTTTCTTAAATATTGATGGTCTTGTCGTTCAAATTCTTATTCGGGGAGACGACTCAATTTCTGGAGAAATCTACAAAGCAAAATTTTGCAAAAAATCAAAAGGTTTATGAAAGGATGGAACCAGAATCAGGAATCAAATACTTTAAATTTCTTCATTACAGCGTCCAAACCCACACGCCATGAAAAGTAAAGGAGTTTTCGAGATAAACAGATCGTTAATGTTTTCTCACACCAACAATATTCGCCAAATCTTTCACCCTTTGACTTGTTTCATTTTCCAAACTTAAAAAAACACCTTTCAGGAAGAAGAAACAAGTCCAGGAAATCATAGGATCTACCATATTTCAGTTTACGAAGGGCCATACTCAAAAATGTGTTCTAAAACAATAAAAAAAATTTGATAAAAATGTTACGGACATCGATTTTAATCAAAGAGAGCATTTAAAAGAAATCATTAAGACTAAATCATTGAAAAACGTTTTTGGTTTCTTTCCGAGCACCGAGGACATTATTTATTGAACATCCCTTGTACATTGAGGAAATGGATAAATGGCTATTAGACTAGTCTCTGCAGCTCCATACGAAAGACGTTCAGGCACAGGAAACATCAAGACTATACATGTACAATGGCACTTAGAAAGTATAGTTTATCCAACCACATATAAATACACCTGTCTCAAGTCTAAGTTAGGCAATGTTGAATTGGACAAAGTCAAACAACTAGCATTATTATATGATTGAATATTCCTATTTTTCTGATTGGCAGAGATCCAACTATGTGGAAGAAATACTACGTTATATTTACCTACACGTGACGTTCCAGGTGAATATAAGGATTTATTTCCTCTACATTGATCTAAAAATAGACCTGGAAATTCTAAATTGATACAAATTGCTTTGAAATGTTATTTAAACGGCTATGAATTTTTCTCATGTGAACAAAACATAAGCGAATATAGTCATCTTCTTACTTCAAAAGTGCAGTACGCAGAGCAATCTACTTTACATTGCATTCATCAATCTGACATAGGTGGTCGACCGAACAATCAGGAAACGCCTTTTCGAGATACTGCCCACCTAAACTGCAGAGCTTAGTAAAGTAAATTTACGACATTTCAATAAGCATCTTTCAGTTTGACGGCGACATCTCAGATGACGTTGGAGTAGTACGTGGATTTAAGTAGGGTGTATACTATTCCTAAAGCGTTTAAAATCTGCTTTGCTCTTTTTTTTCAATTTGTTTTTGGGTCATCAAATAATCTACCTTCACATTAGATAGATTGCTGCCTCTTTATGGTTTACTTGCGTTCTTAATCTAAGGAAAGGAATGTCGCTATTGGAGACATTCAAATGTATAGGCATATAAAAGAGCAATTGCTTTTAATACTCAGGTTGAACGCCAGAAACTGATGGACGAGTTTTCAAGAATATATTATCTATTTGGGCTAATTTTTAGTCCAAAAGACTCAGGACATAGGCCAAGGAACACCAATTACACCAAAGAGTGGAACAACTGGAAGTCTCAACTCATTCTAATACCAGAGTTCTTAAGCTACAGACACAACCTCTAGACATCAAAAGCAGTGAATACATCAGTTAAGCCGCACCAACACCGGTCAATATATCCAAAGCTGTATGGGAAATTAAACAATCTGATTCCATGGAACAACACTAATGGAGAATCCTTGGTACACCCGACAAGACGGATCAACAACAATGTGTCATTAAAAGCAGGTACATGAATATATTTTATGAACACCCTCCTCTGTCTTGTTGAATAAGTCAAGTGCATAGAATAGATGAAGGACGCATGTCCTAGGATATCCTGTATAGAGAACACTAAGCAGTCAATGAAGGGTACATCGTTCACATCCCCACTTCTTAGACGTGACAAAAACTTTCGGCGTTGATACATACATTGTATTGTTTGGAAGCACTTGCAGCAGTCAGAACAGGCCTAGAAACTACTCATTTAAAGAGGTGAAAACAGATGAAGGAAGAATAGAAGAAAGAGTAATAAGACAACAGCAACTTCAAGAGGCTTATACGGCTGCAGCAGACAACAGAAATCCAGGGACAGCCTCTACAAGCACAGATGAAGGTGCTTCCTCCCTCCCAAGGATGTTATTGTAAAAAAAAAGATTAAATATAGACCTTTCTGTGAAGCTAATTAAAACTCTTAATAAGACTTTGTACATGTAAACTACAAGGGGATTAATAGTTCAGCTGGGTTTTTGATTTTGATTTGCAATAAAGGGATTTAAATTGGATGTTACTTAAATTTCTGTGAAATTCTTTTGAAATGTTATTACTACTGCATTTTGTCGGTACACTGAGATGTGCAATATTATTTTTTTTTGTATTTTGACAGAGTCCAAGATTACTAAAATTTGAATTGTTTGTGAGAATTTCAAAATGATCAAAGTGAGAATTACATATCATCAAATTCCCTTGACTATAATTTCGTATAATTTAGTTTTCAGTAATTGAACGATAATCATGATCTCGTGACTTATTTCCCAGAGGAAACTGAGTTGTTTATAAACTGTGTATCTTTTGCATAATGAGTACCTGATGTCAACAAACACTAAGGATGTGGTTATAACAAATAAACATGGACGTGTTAACTCTTTCTTTGATATGACGTGACGTGAAATCTGCTGTCCTCCCCATCACTGGTTTTGACTGTGTGCTCAATTAAAAATTGGGAATAGAATGTTTCCATGTCTTATTGTCTTATGAAAAAGAAACGTTTTCTTCCATTTTATACGTTGTTTTCTTTTTGTTGTCCTCCTCTTTCAAAGAACACATCCTCGTGGACCGATTTCGTTGGCATCATTCTGTGACAGTGGTAGTCGTTTGATTTGATTGATTTGTAGCTTTCACGTGTTTGTTATTTATTTTCTCTTGTACACATTCATATTCGCCATCACTCTGGAAAACGATTCATGAATCAATAAAAATGGATTGTGTTTGATTACTGATTTTTTTTCTTCTTGATTAACAAAATAATATTTATGGGAATGGTTGCAACATGGTTATATGTCATCTAAATAATATTTAGATGACAAATAATCATGTTGCAACCATTCCCATAAATATGAAGATGAATGATTAAACTAATCCTTATAATGACCTACATCAAGATCAAATTATACTAAAGTGAGTGTGTTTTATTCCATGAGATTAAAATCCCATAAATTTCAGATTGTGAATTAGCTTTTCGTGTTATCCATATGGCTCATCTCATTTTCTGTTTTTATTTGAGGCACTCATAGCATCTATCTCGGCTTTCGTGATTAACTATTGAGTTAATTACGATTAACAAAGCATATCGTATCCTATCAACGACTATTCAATAAAGTGTGGAATAATTCTAGGAAAATGATCGTTGTTTGAAGCAGCGTAAAGCCATAAAATTTCTGGTTATGCGCTCTACCCTTTAGAAAATATAAAAATTTATCCTAAAACTTCAGTTTGTTATTGATGAAATGATCACTGTAATTTTGTCATTTTCTGATAAAATGTAGTATTTTGGTGATATGCTTAAAAATAAATTGAAGAAATTAAAATTTTAATTTTGAATGTGTAGAAATTATTGCTTCATGTGTTAGAGATAATGGGACCGCAAATTACTTAAAGAGGACGTAAATCAGAATGTATGGACTTTAGTACCATCATAAAATATGAAGAACACGTCAAGTAATCAAGCTCAAAGTCCACTGAAACAATTCATATTGGAAGTAGAGCAAACACTGACGACAAACACAACAAGGATCGGATCAGATACCAGGGAACACTAAGCATCTCCTGTTGACGGGTCACACCAATTCCTTGTCATGATCGGAAATAAACAGTGTTAAAATAAAAGTTTTCATGTAACAATTTTAAAAACGACGGTCAACATTCGACTTAAAGTTTTTGCTGACAAGGTCATGGTATCAACTAAAAAAATTGGGAAAAATTGAATTTATTTGTACGAGACTGTTGATATTCTTGTTTCATTAACTTATTTGTCAATAGTTTGTCTCGTTGTAAAAACTGTTCATATGTAGAGCATACTTTGCGTATCGAATCATCTGGAGTAGAAAAAAATGAGTATGAAGATAATGGTATAATTTTACTTAAACAAAAGAACTTGACTATAGAAAAGTTGAAGTTATAGTTGTTTGGCCATTAGGCAACCCCAACTCTACAGTTGTACGTAGTTAATGTAGCAAAGTACATTTATCTACTTTAAGATTGGACTATCTTGAAATCTGGATTTTCTTTTATTTGAAAACTTTGAAAAATAAATGTACAACAAATTCATATGCTAAATAGCATGTTACTTGAAACAAATTAAACAAAAGATGCTATGAAATAGCCTTCATTTGATCACAGTTGTCTTATTTTTATACATGGACCCATGTACATATTTTATGAGCGTCCATTTGAAAATACATACTTTTTTCTTTCAAGAAAATGGTGAATTGAATAAAACAATTTATCCCACTTGAATGGTAGTTTGCGAATTGTAATTCATATCGTGATTACACTGTCGTCATTATGTGAGCTACTTTGTTTTTCATATTTTTTATGGGGTTTCGAACACTTTGTAGAATTAAAAGCAGGGGAACTATGGATACGTTTTAACTTGACTCTTTTTCTAGAACTATCTTGTGTAGACTGACTGAGCCGATTGTCACTATAATTTTGGTGTATTGTGTTGTCATTAAGAGTTACAGTTTTACGCAGTTCAGATGAATTGGAATGATATCCCCTATCTGTATGTTGGTTTGCTGAAATGAGATTTGACACGCTCGACATACTTTCGTCACTACTTTCCATTTCTTTTTCACAATCGTGGTTAGATGGATGCTTGTCATTGCTCACACACAAAACTTTGATTTGAAGATCGTCGAGCGCACCGAGTGAGATATGTTCTCTATCAACTGGAACATTTTCGTAAGAGTGTAAGATTTGTCTACCAGTTCCGTCGATTTTAGAGCGGCTCCAGAGCTTCTGGTGAAGATATTTCACTAGCTTCAAGATCAGTGCTTTCCGCAACAGAACATACAACCAGGGATCAAGAATTTGATTTATTCCTGCAAATCGAACACCCAGGAGATCTGCTTTCCTATTTGTTACACCTGTGATCTGATTTATAATGATGTTTATCTGAAATAAAAAAAATACTTTAAGAATGCAATTAATTCGTTCATAAATTCCCGTGACAGTGGAAAATTTTCTACGAGATGCTAAACAATATTTACAGGTTATGTAAAGAGCAGATGAGTTTTTTTTTTAACATGTACATGCATATCTTCTTTAATGCCTTGCTCATAAGAATGTTGTGTACTCATTAAACTGAAGAATTTTATCCTTTTAATTTTGCACTTGTCTGTTGCATTATGATCGTGTAAGTGTACAGAGAGTAATGAGCATCGAAGATTTCAAGATATCTGCATCTAAAAGCAGTGATTTTTTTACCAGACGTAGGTAAAACTCCTGTATGCTACCAGACATTTGGCTAGTCAAGGAAAAGATCTTCCAGATTAAGGTGATAGTTATGAATAATTGATAAAACCAAAAAATTAGTCGAGATTATCTTGAATACTATTAATAAGTTTCACGATCGAGATTCGACTTTTTTTACGACATTGAATTAAAAGTAGCATCTGTGTTGATTGGGATTTCCTTTGACAGATACCGAATATAATAATGCAATAAGTATTTTGACCAAAGTTTATTGATTCATATAAGTCATTAGTGAGGGTAATTTTCCAGGCCGGTTCTTCGGATGAGACCATATAAACCGAGATCCCATTACCCAGTAGATGCTGGCACAAAAAAGATCCATCGCTGCTCAATGGCCGTAAGTGTCGAATATAGGACAAAATTTGCAGCTTTCCACCGGCAAGTGGTGCATGGCGTCTCCATAGGAGTGAAAAATTCTCGAGAGGGACGTTAAACAATATGCATACAAACAAACGAGAGAATACGAAATCCGTGGTTTTGTATATTAACAAAAGCTGGATAAACTCATTTTTGAGTAATTAAAAATAGTTTTTTCACGTTACTTTCTTTATAAACTTATTAAAAAGATAAGTTTCTATTTAAAAAAAATGTAGCATTACTTTATAACGAGACAGTTTTCCCATTTTTACGAGTTAGTTATCTCGTTACACGAGATGATTATCTCTTTATACCGGATTAAGTACCTCGTTAAAACGAGTTATATGCACGAGTTAGCTACATCTTTAAAAAGACCTTTCTTTGCGTTTGAAAAAGTCCGTTGTAATTAAATTATTTTCATCACAACTAGAGGAACTTTGTGTACTGAACTCACTAAATGATACCCCATCCCGCCTCCCATATGAACCTAATGGCAAAATCCAGGCTCTGGGAAACTGATGGTTAACCCCGAAATAGAGATCAAAAAAGTGAAATAGGAGATGTGCAATGGCAATTATATTATAAAGAATCCGCGAAGTTGCCGATAAGAGATGGGTACCCTTCAATATTATTGTAATGGAAAACCCAAAATATATATCGGATAAAGAAAGTAAAGTATGAGGTGCACAATGGAGCTATGTAACAAACTGAAAGATTCTATGAAAGCATCATTAAGATTCATTCAGTGGTATACGAGGATTTGCGGATAAGAGATAGCTATCCCAAAGCGTAACAGACGGAGGTACAGCTAGACAGAAGGAAGGACGGACATCCCGATCACTATATAACCTCCCACTTTCGCAGAATATTTTTGTTACATATTGCCATCGTGCATGTCCTATTTTACTTTTCGATCGGACACATATTTCGTGTTTCCCATAGAAAAACATTGACAGTGCCATTCTTTCTATAAAATTGAAGGGTACCCTTCTCTTATCCGCATGTCCTATTTTACTTTTCGATCAGGCACATATTTCGTGTTTCCTATAGAAAAACATCGACAGTGTCATTCTTTCTATAATATCCGCAACTCCTCCTATATCACTGAATACTTATATTTCACAGATTCTTTATTTAAAAATGCCATATGACCTCCTATTTAACATTTTGATCTGACACTTATTTCGAGTCTCCCACAGCAAAACATGGAATTTGCCACTATAATCATACGGAAGGCGGGAGTATCATTTTGTGAGCTCAGAGCTCACAGTACCTCTAGTTTTTTTTTATGACCACATCGAAAATGTTTAACAATGTAATTTTTTTTTGAAAAAAAAATTGAAAATAAAAATAAATGGTATAACAACTTAATTTTTGAAACTTACATTGATTGGCAACCAACAAGTTGTGAAGACAAGAGTGATAGCACACAGGAAAATGACCATCTGAGTTTCAGCTTCTCTCTTTATTGACTTTGTTTTACTCTGATTCGTGTTGTGTCTCCTGTGACAATACGGTGAATTGTTCGCCACCCTTTTTCGTCTCATTTGTAGTAATGTCACAACAACAGCGATATTACACCCGAGGTTCAATAAAATTATCACAATATTGGTTGATGCAAATATTGATGCATATATGATGTCACTCACACTTTCTTTATGAAAGTTCAAAAAACACCAAGATCCTGGAAATTGAATTTCATAGCTTCCTATTCCAACAAATGGCCATGAACAGAAAAACATCACAATAATCCAACAAGCTGCGATAGCTATAAAAGCCTTTTTCTTCGTGGCAACTCTTGCATGGAAATAAGCAAACCGTAGAGCAAGTAATCGTTCTACTGACATAGCACACACAAGAAGGGGCGTTAAGCCTCCAAATAGGATCATAGCAAAAGCATGATAACGACAAAGGGGTTTCCCTCCTACCCATTTTAAATTGTTGGCGTACACAACAATTGCAATCGGTGACGTCATTAGCTGGCCAATCAAATCTGTCCAAGCCAATCCGGCCAGTAATGTGTAAAATACCGTCCTTTTGGCCTCTTTGCGTGACGTATACAACACTACAAGTGCTAGAATATTTCCCAGAATTCCAGTAGTAAACATGATAATGGGAGTAGAAAGACTGATTCCCATTCCTTCCTGACGACATCCGGTTTTGTTGAAAGAATCACAAGGATTATCCATTCGAGTCCGATCGTCCGCCATGATTGTGGTAAGATCTTGCGTTATGCCATTAGTGTTGAGTAGAGAGAACAAACCCGTTGGTTGCGTGACGTGGTAACTTGTTACCTCTGTACTTTCCATTTTTCTGTCTAATACCATCGTCTGTACGACCTGAAATTATATATAAATAAGGATATTTACCATTTATTGTTTTCCCCTTGATTGTTTTCTTTCTCTAGGAAACGTGTTAAAAATGTGCGTGTACACTACACGATTGACAATTACAATATAAATACAGATATTCTGAAGTTCACCAATCTTAAAAAAGCTTTAAATATGATCAGTTAAAAAACAATTATAAGATACTAATTAAATGGATGGTTCAAGGTTTGTTTAATGCAGCGATACTTTTAATTTCTCTACTTATAGGCGATTGCCTCTAACGAAGAATCCCAACCCATGCATATTAACTCATTCCCCCATTAGGAACTCATTCACCCATTCACCTTCTATTATCTGTAAGCATTTTAATTTCTTTTTTTTGTGGTTTTGATGGTCTTTAAAAATTTTAAGAAAAGTTTTGTTCCATAAGTAATTATAAAGAAAAATTCATTCATTGTCTGTGAAAATCATATGAAATACTAGTCTGATAGTAGTCTGATATTCATATGACTTAATTTGCCCTTTAACTCAAAATTGTGCTCACTAACTCATTTTTCTACTTCGGATTTTGCTTCACGCTAATACACAGAATCAAAGTGAGCCAAACTTGAAAAGTTTATTATTTTTTCTACGAGTTATCTCAACAGAAAACAAACGAGTGGGGGTGTTTTAATTAGAAATTATTTCATTCAAATAACAAAGAACTATAAATTACGAAAGCCCTCGTGACATTTAAGACAATTAAAAAGCTTGTTGGAAGAGTAATTTAAAGACAATAAAAATATAAACAGCTTCCAAGATTAAAAAAAAATGAATGAACACTGGTCTCCCCAACTTTATTTTAGAATATATCTCCAAAAGCTAGAGGGTATAAAAGAAAATAAAGAAATTACTGCAAAAAATCTGAATGGCAAACTCTTTGATGATGCCCATTTACACAATTACATTTCAAACATACAACAATGTACCATTAAGTTTAAAATATTAATTTCCTGTGCTATCTTTCAGGAAATAAAACAATAGTTATATGAAAAAAGTTTCATGGGACCAGCTCTTGCATCTGTGTGAGATTCTCTTTTGTAATGAATCAAATTGCTTGTCAGCATGCAATATGTCACACTAAAATATCGACTTATCAGAGAGAAAAAAAATATATGAAAGATTAACTCTACAACTATCATCCGTAATTGCAAGGCAATCAATCGATTTTTTTTTGACGCAAAATGACTTCTTTAAACCAAAAAAGTAAGCTATGAACATGTACTTATACTTCATGAAATTCCAAAGCCACCGTTTGCATGGACACTGTTCTAAGTTCGCAACCAAAACTTAACCGATTTAAAAAACAGAAATGGCATTGAATATTAACCATTTTAAAAAGTAGAAGTGACATTAAATATTTAAGGAAAACTCTGAGATTTTCTCGGTAATTGCATACACTCGTATATACATATATTGTAAGTGTTCTATTATTTTTCAAGTTGGTTCTTTTCATTATTCATATTTTTCACTGTTTATAAAATTAAAACAACTGCTACTATGATCTGTATTTCTTTACATATTGAAGTTGATGTTTTTACGTGAGCATTCCTCAGCGTACACATGTGAGTACAAATTTAGAACTAGAAGTAAAACAACACTACATCACGAATCAACTAACTTTTCATGTGTGTGTGTGGGTGGTGGTGGTGGGGGGGGGGGGGGGTGAACCCTCTCTTAATTGTGCTGTTCTAAAGAATACTGCAAAACAAAGTTTCTTTGTGGATTTATGAAACATTTAATGAACTTTTCTTCTCGTCAAGGAATTTTAATTTGCTTGGTAATACTGTAATTAGTGACCATCCAAATTGAAACTAATTGCCCACTCCTTCCCCGACCTGAAATTGTTTCCTATGTGCCTGGATATATACAACCTAAATAATACAGTATATGCAACAAAATTTTGGGTAAAAATAAAACAAACTTTAGAAATTCAGAAATTGAACGGGATTGAAAATTATCGTTTCTTCGAGGTTTCTCACTTAGAAAAGTTTTTAGTCGGGTCATTCTTAGCCAGTAGGTCGGGAGAGAGCAACCAAACAATTTTTCCAAGATTTATTGGGGAATGGAAGATTTGAAACTTATTTTGCATTTCTAGGGATTTTTTGTTGTTGTATTATATGATAAACTTTTTAAAAACAAAAAATTGTGATGATCCAAGTTGACGAAAAGTCAGGCAAATTTAAGGGTAAAACATTGCATTTCACTTAAAAATCCTGTCATACTTTCATCACCTCTAAATCTACCATCTTCCTTCACTATAAATAGATCAAGTGACAGCTGTCTTTTTATAAATCTTGAACTTTTCTAACAAGGAAGTCGAATTAACAATTCTTGTGAAAGATGACAAAGAGATAAGAACGTCGATTTTATCATTATATAATGTATTACTGAAAAGGTACGATAAAACTCGAGAATGAAAAAATGCTACAAGTGTAGTCAGCAGACTCTGATATATTTCAGGTTTCTTAACCCAAATCGTTCTTTGCTGTTACATCTTTAAATTAGCGCTTAACTTTAATAAAAAAAAGTGTTATTCAACCATAATAAATATTGCAGTAGTATCAAGTAAAGAATATATAAGAAATACAAAGCTTGAAATGAAGCTAGACTTCCGACTTCTCCCAAAGAGCGTAAAATATTCAGCAAAAAAAAAAACCTTTTGAAATTAGTAGAAAAGGAAAAAACCACGTACTTATCTAACTATTTAAGGAAGCAAATACAAGGTAAAATGTTATTCATAGCCAATAGATTACACTTTGATATTACTTGCTTAGTTTGGGATATAAATAGGCCTATTTTTCGAATTTCGATTCCCATTACTTTTAAAAATAATATTTGTTTGCCGTCTTCCGAGTCTTGCTTAAAATAAGGGCCAGTCACCAGGGCAGGTGCGGAAACTTTCCTTATGGAACGCCGTCACTGCCTTATAGCAGAACGCAACAATTGCACTGCGTCAACCTTCAATTACATTATGTCAACTCCATATGACAGTTACTCACACAACTATTACACTGTGTTAACCTTCTATTACATTATGTCAACTCTACATGATATTAACTCATACTACTATAGCATTGTGTGAACTTTCCTTTACATTATGTCAACTCTTTATGACATTTACTCCCACTATTATTTTATTGTGTCAACCTTCCATTACATTATGTCAACTCTTTATGACATTTACTCACACTACTATTGCGTTGTGTCAACCTTCCTTTATATTATGTCAACTCTTTATGACATTAACCCACACTACTACTGCATTGTGTCAACCTTCCATTATATTGTGTCGATTCTTTATGATATTATCCCACACTACTATTGCATCGTGTAAACCTTCCTTTACATTATGTCAACACTTTAAGACATTTACACATTCTTGCATTTGCATTTCGTTATGTTTACTGTTCATGACATTTAATTAAACAACAATTACATTGTGTTAACCTATCATTACATTATGTCAATTCTTTATGATATTAACTCACACTACTACATTATGTCGATTCACTATTACGTTATGCGAACACGGGTATCCTCGGCCTTTATATGAGCATACCGTATTTTCCGCAATCGGCAATCCTCGGCTGACTCCGCTACGCTCCATTCAAACGTTATAGGTACGAGTCATCCGAGGAATTCCGATTGTATTTTCCGCGTTCCGAGAGCACTAAAATTGGCGGGAGAGAAAATTGCCGTAGAAGAAATCTCAGCGATTTGGGAATGGCATCTTTAAATAAAAATTTTAAGCGACAAAGGATTGACAATCTTGAAACGTGCAAAGCCTTAACACTGCGACTGTGAATTAAAGTCACGTCGAAATTCAATGGCGTTTACTTTAATCTGATAATTAAATAAATCAAATATTATGAGTCGTGCAGCAATTTTTTTTCTTTTTATTTTAAATTGTTCTTTGTTTATTTGTTTGGTTTTTTTTTTTTTTTTGGATAAAAGTCTTAAACTTCTGATCTTACTAAGAACATTGTCATAATTTTTTTTATCAGTCTTGAACTTTCCTTTTTTTTAAAAGTGTAAACACATCGTATAACACACGTGCACTGGTGGGTTGGGGGGAGGGGAAAATCCCGCCCTACCATCTTTAGTGACCAAAATCTACATGTACAAAAAATTAATAAATTTATTGGTTTTACTTTGTAGGACATTGCATTAGTTTCACATTAAGTTTAGCTGAATTAAGTTGAAAACTTTTTTTTATAAAACTATAAAGCCTGAGAGCTTCTCTGCTTTCCCCTTGGTCTCCAACCATAAACCGTCCCCCTTCAGGCTTGGACAATTTTTTTTGTTCAAGATTCTCATATCCGCTACTGACATGTGTTCATGCATGCTTACTAAGGCATATTCAATTGATTTAGATGAGGGATTGGTAGATTTTTTGTAATAGAATTCTGGCCCTGGAATAGTTGAAAAAATTACTAATTCCAGTGCGTGACGTATCATCTTTTTCGAAAGGAGAGGGGGGTTAGCCAGAAAAAAAATATTCGCCCGAAAAAAAAACTTGAGAAGCCAAAAAAAAATTGTCTAATCCAAGCCCGAAAAAATCCTATTTCGGGGAGGGGGGTCCAACTTCGATCAGTCCTAATTTTTTTGTCAGATATACTACATTACCCTCAGTGGACTATACTTCAACAAAAAGTGGGGGTGGGGGCTGTACTTTCAATGAACATTACATTTTCTATTGTAAAGTTATGTTTGGGAAAAGAGGGGGGTTGATATTTTGTGCCTCTAATTCTTCCGTATCAATCAGGACCCCCCCCCCCTCTTACCAGTCATAAAAACACGGTCGTCAACATTCATTTTATACCAGATATACAGCTTTGAGATAATGTAAATGTATTTTTACATCAGGTAATGCACTTTTGGAATCAACATGATAAAGAGTTAACACAATATAAAGATATTTTAAGATCACATAAGAAAGAGTTGACATAACGTAATTATATATCCACATCACGGAATGGAGTTTTGACATAATGTGATAAAGTGTTGATATAATATAAAGATATGTTCACATAATGTCATACACTTTTTACACCACGTAATAAAGCACTGACATAAAGGTAAGATGTGTTCACCTCACATCATGATGCTCTCGCCGTAAAATAAAGATAAACCCATATCATGTAATAATGCTTTGATATAATAAAAATATACACTCTCGAAAAGGAATGGATTTTTGACTTCATGTAATGATAAGTTTAATTATAAAACACAATTCACTTGACGTAATGCAATTTTGACCTCTCATATTAAAGAAATGAAATGATGTAAAGAAACATTCATTTCACGTAATAAAGTTTTAACACAATGTAAACACATTATCGCTTCACATAATGAATTTTCGACTTCAAGTTATGAAGTGCTGACATAATGAAAGGGTGTATTTACTTCATGTAATGCAGCATTGACATGATGTAAAGATATTTTTACATAATCTCATAAAGAATTGACATAACGTAAAGATATGTTCACATCACGTAATGATAAATTGACATAATAAATGCATAGTTGTATGCTATAAGGCAGTGTTGGCGTTCCATATTTCCTCCAAAAATATTTCATTATAAATTCAGAAATTAAAAGGGATTGAAAATAATAATTTCTAGAAGATAAGAAAAGTGTTTAGTCTGGTCATTCTTAGCCAGTAGGTCGGGAGATGGCAATCAAACAATATTTCAAAATTTTTTTGGTAATGGAAGATTTGAAAATTATTTTGCATTTCGAAGGATTTTTTGTTGTTGTATAATATGCATAAACTTTTTACAAACAAAAAATTGTAATGATCCAAGTTGACGAAAAGTCAGGAAAATTTAAGGGTAAAATATTGCATTCCACTTAAGAAGCCTGTCATACTTTCATTACCTCTACCATCTTTTCTATAAATAGATCAAGTGTCTAATAAGGAAGTCGAAGTTTACTTTTTTTGTGAAAGATGACAAAAATATAAGAGGGATGATTTTATCATTATATATTGTATCGCTAAAAAGGTACAACAAAACTCGAGAATCACAAAAAGTTACCAGTTAGTAAGCAGACTCTGATATATTTTGATAATTCTTAAACCAAAATCGTTCTTTTTTGTTACAAAGATACAAAGCATGTTCCAGTTAATGTTCTACCAAACCTCTTTCTTTACTACTCACACTATTAACAGTAGTGAATGAGAAACTTACTTTAAGAGTACTGTTCAACAATATATTCGGAAATAGGTGTAAATCAGATGTGGATACTAAAAAAATCCAACTTTTGGAATATTTGAAATCGTAAAACTTTACCAAAATAAACAACTCGAAAACTCATGACTTTCCAACTTTATACACAACCATTCCCCACGATAAATTAAAGTCCAGGCTTTTTGATATCATTGACAGCTGCTTTTTCAATAAAAATTGAACGTAAATTAGCTCACCTTGTCATTAGTCATTTGCAAAATTACTTTAATTTGTTATAAACATTCAGATTATTCGTGCAAGCACTCTGAAGTAGATATTAAAAAGATGCTAGAGTTTCTGATTAATTCTACATATATGGTTTTTGAATAACCATGTCTTCCAACAATCTACTGGGATTCTAATGGGTACCAATTGCGTATTTTTGTACTCTTATGAAGCAGAATATGTTCAAAATCTTTTACGTGAAAAGAAGAAAACGTTTCCAACTCGACATTTAGATATATCGTCGATGCATTGTTCATGAAAAATAGTTATTTTCATTTTTATGACGATACGATATATCTCAGTGACCTTGAAATAAAAGATACCACAAAGTCTGACGCATCTGCTTCATATTTGGATCTTTTACTAGAAAAAGACCTAAATGTTTATCTAACAACAAAGCTTTATGATAAACTTGATGACTTAAACTTTTCAGTCGTCAAATTCCCTTACATATGCAGCAATATACCTTTGTCGCGTGCACACGTAGTTTATATCTCTCAGTTTCGATACGGAGGAACAATTTCTAAAATGGGGTAAGTCATTGACAAAAAAGTTGATGAAGCAAGAATATCAGCAGTCTAGTTTAAAGTCATTTCGCAAGTTCTTTGGTTGATATAATGACCTTGTCAGCAAATACAATTTATCATTAAGTCAAAGTTAGGTCATTATTTACACAATGAGTTGTCCATGGATTTTTTTTCCATTTCTTCCCCGAATATGACAAAGAGCACAGAGCGGGTGTGATTGGTCGGCAGGGATGCTAACTCCTCCATGGCATCTGATCCCACCTCTGATGTACAGAGGTTCGTGTTTGCTCTGCTCCTATTTTGTAATGTTTAATGGACTTTTGAGCTCGAATACTGTTCGCTATCTCCGAATATTTCATCTATAAATTAGCGCTTAACTTTAATTAAACAAATAGAAGTGTTATTCATACTATGGATTACCTAACAAGAGCGTACAATTACTACATATTTATAATATTACAGCAGTGTTAAGCAAAGTAAATCATAATGAAAAGGAATGAAATGAAGCTAGACTTCGCCTTCTCCAAAAAAAAAAAAAAAAAAAAAAAAAAAAAAAAAAAAAAAAACTTAAAGATTTTCTTTAAAGAAAACTTTTGGATTTAATGGAAAAGGAAACACCACTTGTCTTGCTATTTTAGGGAAGCAAGTACAGGATAAAATGTTATTCAAAGCATGAAAAGTACACTTAGATGTTACATGCATAGTTTGAGATGGAAATTAACAGGTCTAGTTTTCAAGTTTCGATTTCTATTTACAAACTTAAGATTTGGGTTTGTCCCGCTTCCAACAAAACACCAAATTTATTCGCCTCACAGGTGTATTTAACAAGTTCTGTATCTAGTTAAAATGATTTGTGAAAAAACACATGCCATGTATCCTTTTTTACAGCCAAAAAAAAAATTGCGGCAGAAAATTATTTCCAGCTTCAATACAATCACTTTACAAACAGAAAAATGCATTCATTTTGCAATTATTCATGTAAGGATTATTCATTTTCCAAAGATTAAAATAAAATTTACATGCATCATTCTTTGTTTCTCCCGGAGGAGATGCAGGTTCGTAAAGCTTAAGGAAACTTTAACACTCGAAACACGGATATGATGTCGTCCGCGGTGATAGAATCGGAAATTGGATTATAATGATAAACAGAAACAAACAACTATTTTCAGCACTAAAACATCTATTTTGATTTATCACTTCGATTTTACTACTCTACTTTAAATGCAATCTGCAGTGAACTGGAAATATAAGGAAGAATGAATCCATTTTAAGTAAAGATTTTATTACAAATTGAATGTGTAAGAAAAAATGCTGTTACAATAAAGTTTGTTTAAATAATTTTATTTCAGATTCTTACCTGATCGATGATTTACACATTTAATCCAGTTTGAAAAAATGGGTACTCGGATAACTCTAGCCAAAAGTACTTCGAGCCCTTGTCTTCAGAAGGTCAAAATCCTAAATCAGCTGATATTCATATAACTTTATCGTTAAATAGAAGACTATGTAGAAATTAGGAAGGATAATCCGAATTTCAATATGAACTCCATGTTTACTCCACAAAAGATTGCCGGTGATTAATTATTCTTCAATAGATTGCTCGGGAGGGACGGCGAAACTCTTGTCAATAACTTTAAGACGTTTGTAAACAGTCACACGTGCTTTAACTTTCACCCAGATCTTCTAGTTATATTTGATGAAACATACAGAAGCTTTACTATCAATACTTGATCATTCAAGCTCCTGCAAACTGCTTATCAAAAACTCCCTAGCATCTATAAAATGTCCGATCACTGAGCCTTACCCAAGCTCTCGTAAAGTAAACAAATGAGGGCAATCTCTAGACTTCACGTGGTGTATTCGTCCCTACCGTTTTAGTCTGATGAAACTTAGTATCATTCGGTGAATCGTTTTTGGGGGGATACCCGTTCGTGCACAACATCATGTTCAATGCGATGGTCACTTAGGGAAATCTTCAAACCCATCAAACACTATTGCATTGCATAATGTAATTTGTTTGATGGCAACTCAGTGCCATTCACGCAATTTGAGATGACAAAAATATTGACATTGATAAAAAATACTTTTTGAACGGAAATTAATTGCAAATAATCTCTCAAATATTTTCCACTCTGAGATAATGCGTCGAAAGCTGTCCAGATATCAAAACTGGTCGACAGGGTGATTGCAGCTTTTAAACAGGAATCTAATGAAATTTTGATGATGACTATTACTTCGTCTGCCATGTGTCACCAGCTTTCCCTGAACTCGTGAAGTTTTTTTTTCCAAGAACCATCCTATACTATATTCGATTTCAATTTAAAGAATTAAATACTCTTTTGACTGTTTTTTTTTTCATAAGGTTGTACAAATAAAAGTCTGTATATATGTACATGTGTATTTGACTTTGACTGTGCTTACAAGAATTTCATTTGCAAACAATGTATTTCGTATGGGTCTTCTCTTCTTCTCGTGTCTGACTTTTTTCATTAGTATCATTATTTGATCAGGAATCAGAGTATTCAGGATGCCTATATATGTAAATTCATGTGTATTTAGCTTGGTCAAATAAGGTGTTTCGGGGCTTTTGACTGTGCATTTTAAACTGTCATTTTCAATGAAAAATTTCATGCATATGCAAACAATGTATTTGCCTACAGTCTCACAGAAAACGGTAATTAGTATGTTCATGGCCTCTTCTTTAAACCAATATCAAATTTAATATAGGTATCCGGTTTACTTTTCATATGATTTCAAATTGAATGTCATGAAAATACTTTTTTCATTAGTTTTCTATCATTAAATTGATTATGAGCAAATGAATCAAATAATTAGCCTAAAGTTATTTACTAGATCTTGACCTTAAGACGCCTAACTCCAAACATAATACAGGTATGATAAACTTCACACATTCTGATATGTTTCATTAACCAACTGACACGTATACTTTGCGTTAAAGCTTTGGAGTATTAAGCGATAAATAAGTTTTCCTTTTTAATTTATTAAGTACGCACTTTTAACGTCCTTTTAACCCTTTTAAAAATAAGGCGATCTTCAATATATCTGTTTTGCAAATGATCATGTACATTTACCAAAAATATGCATTATTGAATGTAATCATGGCTAAAAGAATGTTTCTTGGGGTAAGCTTTGTCAAGTTTAATATGGAATAAATTAATTGGAACTTACTTCTTCTTCTTTTTTTGATCTTTGGGAAATTGAATAAATGATTTCAGAATGTTAATTTACTAATTATTTCTGGAACTTGAAAGGTCTCAAATGAAAGAAGAAAATCTTAGTATGGTGGCAAAACTTTGGACTTTGTTGTTGTTTTGAATGAATCTTATACTTGCTGCAATAAAGTACGTCAGTTATAAAGAAATCATAAGCTTTTACATTTGATGTACATGATTTTAAATTAATTTTCTCCAGTATTTTAATTATAGTATAAATGTACATATATCTTGATTTTTGAAGAATTTCAATCACAATTGATTTAACAATAGACATATTTGCTTAGTTAAAATGACTAATACATTATGCGTGCACATACAGGAATGTAAAAGCAAGTATGAATTAAAAAAAAAAACAATATTCTCATGCAAAACAAAGTAAAGCATTATAATTCAAATGCACTAGAGGAAAAGTTAATTAACATGGGAAACTCAAAATTTCTGCAATAGAACATCTAATGATACTTGTAGTAAACGCTTTTTAAAGTTTTATTTGTGTTTCTAACTTTTATACATCAGCATTAGTACAGACAATCAACTGCATCTATACAATATTTGATAGCCCAAACTTTAATAAATGATAAAGGATCAAAATCCCAAAACCATACTGCTCATTATATGCATAAACATAAATTCTTATCTTCTGGAAAAAGACTGAAAACTCGTGAACTTTTAATCGTAGCCTACTTCAGCAACTAGCAAATTCTATTGATATTAAACGTTACAGAGGAAAAAAATCACTTACAGTAATCAATCATGCTGGAAAATATTTTCCACTTTGTTACATAGGTAGACATGTTGACTAGTGTGGTAAAATTCTACTTCATCAGAAGGGAAGTTTATCTTCTTATCATACACTGGTAATTTTGACGAGGTTCACATCTTGTAATGGCACCGTTGACATTCTGTGTATATATGTTTGCTTATCGGGGTATGCGATATTCCGTTGACATATTTTAAGTAAATATTTGCGTCACTGTTTCGTAAGCTGAGAATTTTTTCCTCGGATAAAAGTATACCAAATGAAGCGATTCAACGCAAAATGATATTTCAACCCATAAGCCAAAATAAGGATGTAATTAACAAGGTGAAAATTGATCGATCAAGATCGGGAAATAAAGCTATTTAAATGTATGTTTTCAACTTCAGCAATTTATGTTTATTTTTTTCCACTTAAATTTGACTAAAATTAGACCAAAAGAGAGACATAAAGAGACCTTGCACAGCAGAAATCAAACTTCCCGTTTGAAACATCTTCAAAAAACACATCAAGAATAATTCTTTGAAGCGAAACTATTTTTTTTTGTATTAATGCTTGAACTCTTTTGGCAAAATTGTTATAGTATAAACATTTTTTATCCCCTTTACAAATCAGTACAAATTTCTTAAATGCATTGTACAAAGATCTAAGCACAAGAGGGTGCTGCTATCTCTCTGACAAATTATCAATGAATTCTTATCAACACATTTCAATAGGAGTGGGAAGAGGGAAGATAGAAGGGGGAAGATTCAATGAAAGCCTCTCTAATTTTTATCAGTGGCGTAGAAGTAAATGCAATTTTATAAGCGATGGATACTCCAAAGTGTTACAGTAGAATGAACACTGACTACTCCGACGCTCCATTACTATATACAACTACCCCCCCCCTTCGCTTTTCAATGAAGGGGGTTTAATAATAAATCTAGAGATAATTGTGTTTTAACATTGCTAGCTATTTCTTTCTGTGAAATAGGGTTTGTATGGTAATTCTTTTAATATTCACAAGATGACAATTGCTTGTTTAACTAGACCATTTAGCAAGATCTAGTCTGATTATAGCAGGAGACGTTAAATACTACCCACGATTATTCAAACAACCTGATTAGACTTTATCAAATAAAAGAAAAATAAATAAACTTACAAATACATTACGACTCATTCTAAAGGTTTTGATTCTTGTGGGCAATCAAAAAAGTTGACAAGTAAAGAAACAGAATGTAGACCTCTTCGGTGATGAAAGGAAGAGTACACCTTAAAGTGATGGAGAACAAGATAACGGAAACAAAACTGGGTGCCTACGTAAAAGGTTAACTTATGCAAGTCTCTAAATGATAAATTAACTGTGTCAGTCATTATCAAAGGTATGAAAGAGAACAGAAAATTTTGATGCAAAATTTATCATAAAAACTCGAGCAATAGTTCCTGAAGGACTTGGGAGGTCTGAACTTTGTAACGACCCTTTGTTACTTACTGAGCTTTGGAATCAAGGTGTTTCTCGTTTGTCAGAGAGACACTCGCTTAACTTAATATAAAGCACATAAAGCTTGATCCTCTTCAATTGATAAACTTCTCAAATGTTTCCTTAGTGAAAGCAAAATTTGATTTTTTTATAACGTGACTGAAGCAGATATCTATAGAAAATATAAACATCATTAAATACACGATGACAGATAGATCGAATTTCATTGAGTTTAGACTCGAGAAGAAAATGTAAAATATGGTGAATATCTAAAGTTAGATTAACTTTTAAGAGAGCAAACTTAATTATCATGCCATTCATTTATAGTAACAAAGAAATATTTTTAAGTGAAGTGCATATTAGCTACCTATCCACATTGCTTTCTTTCTCTCGCTGTAATAGCAGTTCATACTAATACATACAGGAAGACAAATGGATTAGGAGGCCTTGTGATAAGAAAATTAACTACTGATGTTTTTCTATTTGAATATTTTTCTTTTTTTTTTTTTGGTATTTCAGCTTATAAACGTCTCTTGTAAGGCTTCAGAAATGCTACTTCAAATCCATGCACGCTAGATGATTTTTTTAAAATGATGACAACAATTAATCGGCATATATTGTCAGAGATAAAAGTACAATATGGCACCTGTATTTTATTACTATTACTTACAAATATATATATATATATATATATATATATATATATATATATATATATATATATATATATATGCTCACTAATATATGGATTAATATTAAATGTAATATAATTTTAGATGCTTGGTGGTTGTTTCAATTATTACAAATTAATGCTTCAATATCAATCAAATATTTTTATTATATTGGTTCCATAGATTTACATTTTTTTGTGGAGGAAATTAATTTCAGCCTCATGTAAATTTTGACAAAGATTTTTCACGCCCACGCGCATCTGTTGTTTGTTAATAAATAAAGCGTCAGACGTATTTACGTAGTTGTGTGTGTTTATGTATCTAAGTAGTTGAAGTAACCTGTAATCGAAGAGCGATAACAAACAAGTACAGGTAATGGTTATATACAGTATATTTTTCTTTTGTTCGATCATTGAGAAAATACTTTATCTTGTATACCAAGTTGAAATTGTAAATTTTCAACATGATGTCTCTCCACACATTCCTCGAATGTTAATATTTTTTGGTTTGTTTCTCAGTCTTTCTTTTCTGTTATATGTTTGTCTGCAAAAACTTTAACTATGCCCATTATTTTGAATGGTTGGAGCGAGAGTTTTCATATTTTGCAAGACGTTTCGCAAAACTTATCTCTTGATAACAATGTATTTAACTTCTTGACTTTGGAGTTTGGCATACTTTTTAAAAGCTTGAATCTTAGCTTTGGGTGC